ATATTTCACAGATGTCGTATCAGTAAGTACTTATTTATATTTAATTGATCTTTCATATCTTTACATTATGTTTATTTAAAAATACGCTTAAGAATTACATATATCAAAACTGATAATATATCATATCACATCTATAATGGCACACCAAGAATATACTAGTTTCTGGGTATCTTTAATATCCTTCATCACATCACTTTCAACAAATAAATCTGTAGCTTTGTGAACAAGAGTTTCTACAACCTTTGGAGGAGAAATGAACAGAAGCTATTACAAAATTACCCACATAAAAAGCATTCTACTCTGCTATACTTTAATCAAGAAAAAAGTCTGAGATACTAACCTCTAAATTACAAACCCCTTCGATATTCCAACTCCTTGGTATTCTCTAACAACACCTAGCAATACAATTAAGAAAAAATAAGTTAAAAAAAAAGCCCTGACAAGATAAAAATTGAAAATCATAACTACATACATGAGGATAGTTGCCACCTAACTGTTCATGCATCATATACAATTTTGATCTCCAGCAATTTTTAAATAATTGTTTCATGATTGAAAAAATATCGCCATCAAGCATACAAAACAGAAGTGGAATTTTCAAATGAAAAGCAAGAGCAGAAGCTCAAAACAGCTAAACATAGCTCAAGCCTAGATGCAATAGCCAGATCTCTGCTCTGCAAAGTGGAACAGCCACTCTGCCTCTATCACTCTTTGAGCTCTCCCTCTCTTTATCTGAAGGTTTGAGGCCTTCTCCATTGACTAAATGATCAGATTGGCTCAAAGCTTGAGCATGACGTAGAGGAATTGGGGCTTTTTGCCCCTTACACGATGGGCAAGTTCAAGCCCTCACATAGATATGTCAAAAATCAAAACCAATAGCTTGTTCTCTCTAAACTTAAGAGAGATTGCCTTTCAGATTGCACTTAACATAGTTTCATGGTTCTTCTAATTTTCTATTTTTATTGACTTATTTTGAAATGTTGGGTGTCTGATTTTTTGCTTCCTATTTATGTTTGAGCTATTTTTTGGCACAATTTACACCCAAAAACAAAAGAAACGAAATTCTCTCTCTATATCATGGGAGATTTCCAGAGCAAGCATTTTTTAATTGTAATTTCAAATTAAAAAAAAAAAAATTGTATTTTTCTCAATAAATTTTACTTTTTTCTACTTTTTACAAATCTCTTTAGAGTTAATTTGTTGTTTTTCCTTTTGTAAATTTCATGGATCAATTACCCTGAAATTCAGATAAAAAGAAAAAAAAAAAATTGATGAGAACTATCGGGCTGGGTTCATGGTCTGGTCAGGCCCGAAAAACTAATTTAATATTCCTAGGGGCGAGTACGGGTACAGGCCCGGGGTCCACATCCATCTTCCAGGTATGGGTACATCTATATTGGACCCTTTCGGGTCCGGGTCCAGCAGGACCAACCCATACCCGACCCGTTGCCACCCATAGTAAAAGGGGCATTAAATATGAAAAAAAGAGCATAAAAAGTAATTCCCTTGAGGTTTGAACACTTATCCAATCATGAAGGGGGATAAGCCCTACCACTACAAAAATCATAACATTGTGTGGAAGATATCTAAACTTTTATTATATAAACTACTTTTTCTAATTAAAATAATCTTTGAATGGACATATCTTTCCGTGGCTTTTTTAGACAAAGCACTAGATGCTCTTACTAAATGTTAAGAACCGACACTTATGTCACACCAGTATTACATGGATGCTGACACAAGTGTGGTAGCCAGCATGTGTTAAGGTGTCTAGTACATGGGACCAAAAGGTCAATACTTCCCAGACATGTCCATACAATGTAAAACTACTTAAGTTTTGATTATGTATTTAACTTTTCAACCCATGTACATACTTGCATGGCTGAAGTGGTAGTCCACCCTTTATATTTAATGGAAAAGAGAGGGATGCCATGTGCAAAAGCAACGGTTGATGTTTTCTGCTAAGAAATTAAGAACTGGTTTTATATAAAATAAATTGTAGACATTTTACCATCAAACTTGCCGCATTCACGGTTGTAGTACGGACCACCCCTCATACTTGAAGTTCAAAGCTCCATCCTCATGAGTTACATGAATAACATTTTAATTGGTATATTTAAAGATTTGAATATCTTAAACACAAAGATGTAGCAAACGAGGATGAAGACAAAACCACAATCATGTGTGAAGTTTGGTATTCTAACTCTAAAATTGTTTTTTATTACAACTCGGATTTATATCAAAAAATTTTAAAATTGAGCTGCAAGAAAAGGTTTACTTGCCAGTATTTGAGCAATATCACAATAGGTGACAATATATATATATATATATATATATATATATATATATATAGTAGTAGTAGTGTGTACGGTACCCTACGTACTCTCTATCTCGTGTCTCAT